AATAGAATAGAATAGAATAGAATAGAATAGAATAGAATAGAATAGAACAGAATAGCTGTTCCACTGGTTAATTGTCCTCACTTTTAGGAAATTTCTCCTTAATTCCAAGTTGCTTCTCTGATTAGTTTACAACCATTATTTCTTGTCCTACTCTCTGGAGTTTCGAGAATAATTTGACCCCCTCTTCTTTGTGGCAGACCCTCAAATACTGAAATACCACTATCATGGCACCCCTAATTCTTCTTGTCTTTTCAAGCCTCTAATTTTTATTTCATTTGGTCCACTATTATTCTTTTATTATCCATTATCCATTCCAATTAGTTATACCTTGTTTTTCAAAAGAGAAACCCTTCCAAACTAGCTTATAAATCATAAGCCACAATCACAGGACAAAAAAATAGCAGGCTTTTTTTGAAAAGGAGATGTTTCATTTACAATATCTATATTGCACACATATGGCAAAGACATGGTGCAGGGGTGGGATTCCAATTTTTTAACAACCAGTTCTGTGGGCGTGGCTAAGTTGGTGGGTGTGGTTTGGTGGTCATGTTATTGGCTGGGTGTGGCCAACTCAATATCACTCACATCGAGGCATGCATCTCCTCCCCCGGCCTCTCATGACTGTGGGGATGCTGCAACAGTCGTAAGTGTGAAAAATGGTCATAAGTCACTTTTTTCAGTGCCATTGTAACTTTGAATGATCACTCCACACAAGCAAAGTACCAGCAAAGGAGGGGGAAAAAACCCCAGAGAAGTTCCAGAGACAGGAAGTCTAGTCCTGCCAAGAATGTAATAAGGGTTAACGGAGAGACAGTTTCTGTAAGCAACACCAGAATGTTTCCTTCCTGCCTTCCTTACAGGATTAGGTCAGTAATTTCTTCTAACAACTGGTTCTCCAAACTGCTTAGAATGTTAACAACCGGTTCTAGCGAATAGGTGCAAACTGGTAGAATCCCACCCCTGACATTGTGTGAACCACGACTCCTGATTTATAATTCAGTTTTCAATTCAATATCAGGAGCTGCCGAAAGATGGCCACAAACACTGTGTGTCTTCATTTTACCGAGCTCGTAAGTATAGAAAGCTGAGTCAACCGCGAGCATGTCAGGATCGAACTCTGGGCCGTGAGCAGAGTTAAGCCTGCAGTTTATATGCTGACATCTCCAATTATGACCACAAGCGAGACCAAAATTTCTATTGCTAATTGAAACATTTGTTAAGTGAGTTTGCCCCAGTTTATGACCTTTCTTACCACCACTGCTAAGTGAATCAGTGCAGTTGCTAAATGAGTCAAACTAATTTTTGCTTGTCGGAAGATTGCAAAAGGGGATCACGTGACTCTGGGACCCTGCAACCGTCATAAATATGAGTCAATTGCCAAGCATCTGAATTTTGACCATGGGGTGCTACATGGGAAGTAAGTATGAAAACGGGTGGTAAGTCACTTTTTCTTTCCAGTGCTGCTTTAACTTCGAAAAGTCACTAAATGAACTGTTGTAAGTTAAGGTTGCAGGAACTGGGTATGTCTAGTTTAATGAAAAGAAGGATTAGGGTGACGTCATAGCCGTGTTCCAATATCTCTCAGGTGCTGTAACAAAGGACCTGAGGGTAGGACGAAGAAGTAACGAGTGGAAACTAATCAAGGAGAGAAGCAACTTAGAACTAAGGAGAAATTTCCTGACAGTTAGAACAATTAACCAATGGAACTACTTGCCTCCAGAAGTTGTGAATGCTCCAACACTGGAAGTTTTTAAAAAGATGTTGGATAATCATTTGTCTGAAGTGGTGTAGGGTTTCCTGCCTAGGCATGGGGTTGGACTAGAAGACCTCCAAGGTCCCTTCCAACTCTGTTATTCTATTCTATTCAAGGACTACCTGTATGTATCACCTTGGAAAACAAGGGGAAACATTTTTTAGCTGTGAAAGACTGAACTCAATGCCGAAAGAGTCACACGGCAGTTTGGACATGCAGGCATAGTATCCTCACCTGGTAGTGCGCCTGGGCTTGTTGGGCAGAGTTTAGGGTGACATTGCAAAGCCTGCAGCACAATGGCTTGCAGAGTTCCTCCAGCAAGGGGTCCTGCTCCCCCCTCGTGGCGAGTTCCTCATCTTGTGCAAGTGGCAAGGATGGCCCCGGTCCCAGTGGCTTCGGTGGAGAAAGTCGCAAGGTGGCTGTGGGCCTGGTGGCCACTGACATAGGAAGAGATGGGGGCGTTTCTGGAAGAGGAGGAAACCCAGCTCGCTGCAGAAGAATCATTGGCTGACAGGCCTTCTAGCATTCTTTCTTCGGGAACCCAAAGGCGGCTTCAGATTGTGGCTGAAAAGCAAGAAGGAAATCCAACTCAAACAGGGGGCCTCCAACCACAAATGTCAAAATTGGGTTGGGTGATATACACCAACAGGGCAAGATTTGGTTCAACTCATTCAGCTGTATTCCATCCACTAAGGATTTATTATTATTATTATAAAGTCTCTTAAGTCACAATTGGCTTGAAATATTGAACAGCCCTCTCCCAACAGAGGGAAAGGGATACAACGTCATCCATCTCCAGTCTACAACACAGTCCTTTCAACAATACCAAGAAGGCTCCATGGTATTTGCACTACTCAGTTGACCCTGAAGACACAGGTAAACCTCCAAGTGGCCTCAATGACCCACTAAAACAGAGGTGTCAAACTCCAGCCTGCAGGGTGCTTAGATCTGGCCTGTGGGACTACCTTGGAAACAGCGAATGACTGGTGCCTCTCTGCCAGTGAAAACGGAACTCGGGAGGGTCCATTTTCACTGGCAGAGGGTTGCAGGAGGCAGTCACAGCCAAAAACGGAGCTCAGGAGCCCGTATTCGCTGGCAGAGCGCTCGGGCCCCCACAGGCGCCCCCAACACGAGTGACATCGAGCTGGCCATGCCCAGCCCACCCACACCCACCCCCCAGGCTCCCCCGAGGTCAAACAAAAATCCTGATGGGGCCCTCAATTAAATCGAGTTTGATATCCCTGCTCTAAAAAAATGCAAATGACCAGCTGTCTGCAAGGAGTGTAAATCCGTCCGTTCCCCAACATCCAGTCAGAGCTGGAAAAAAAAACAAGAAAAATTCAGTTGCCTCTTGAAAAACAAGCACCTAGAATTAATGTGTTTGTTTCTCTCCTTACTGAAAATTTGGAATGGAAAAGGAAATAATAGAATTATGTATGTATATATGAATGTATAATTGCTGTCATATTTGTATGTAAAGGTGATGACCTGGAAATATGTTGTCCACTAAAAAGAAATTTTTGTTTTTAATGTGAAAAACTGAATAAAAATTTGTTTAGAAAAAAGAAAGAAAAAAAGCACCTTTGGGTCAGAACTGGCTTAATAATAAACTGTGGTTTGTAGTCCACGCAATAAAGGCTATGCCAAAGGCCAGAAAATCACATTTTAGCCTACCGCAGATGTGCAAAAATGTGAGAATCAGAGGCTATTTGAGACGCACCAACATTCGTTCCATAATTCTGCCCCCTACACGGGAGAGAGTAGGACCCAAAATTTGGAATATTAGGGTACTTTGTGGGATGTGGGGAGCTATAAAGGTCAAAATGATTGGCCTGCTGCACAACTACCCAAATTCTGCTCCCAAAATGAGGATATATAACTTCAGAGGTTTTGGGAATATAGCCCTTGACGTGTAGCCTAATGTGATTCTCAATGAAATTTTTAAGTCTCTGGTTTAGCGTAGGATACAGGTAGCCCATGATGTACAACCACAATTGAGCCCAAAATCTAGCCGCTAAGTGAGGCAGTTGTTATGTGAATTATGTACCGTTTTATGATCTTTCTTGCCACAGTTGTTAAGCTGGGAACATGGTTGTTAAATGAATCAGATTTCCCCACTGACTTTGCTTGCCAGAAGGCTGCGGAAAGTGATCCGGGTTACTAATGATTCACTTAACAACTGAGACAAGAAAGGTCGTAAAATGGTGCAAAATTCACTGAACAAATGTCTCACTGAACAGCAGAAGTGTTTGGGCTCAATTGTGGTCGTAACTCGAGGACTACCTGTAGAGTAGACAGGATAAAGGTTCAGGAGATACCTGAAGCTTCAGGTATCTTCTGGCATTCTATGCAAACCTTGCCAAGGGACACACTTGTAGCTAGACAACACTATTTACATTTGTCTAAACTTATTTCCTATTATTATATTTTCCCTGTTCTCCCCCAAAATTGAAGTCAACATGCAGTAATACTAGGCGCTCTAAGTGATGTATATATACAAGCCAGGCAAGATATAATTTTTACTAGATGCAATGTACACACACAGACACACAAAATTGAACTCATATTTGTGCTTTCTACTTTTAGTGAAGGGAGGAAAACAGTCTCCCCCTTTCACTTTATTCTAACAATTCTGCAAAGTAAGTTGAGAAACAGGGATTGATGAAGGTCGTGCAGTGAAATTCATTGCTTAGAGGAACCTGAATAAAATCCCATCTTTTAAACGCTTCACTATTACGATGATTGATTTGACTGAGCTGAATGAAATTTGCTTTTAATCTGCAATACATTTTCTAATTCTTCCTTTTCCCAGAGAAGGGAAAACGCGGTTCAGCAATATTTCTTTCATGTAACCTCATCTGATAGATCTTTCCCATTTAAATCCACCCCATCTGAACATTTCAGTCAGTTCAAACTCCATAAAACAAGATAAAACACGAGACCTTCGCAAAAATCCCTGCAGATGGAAAATTGGTGTACAGGAGGGGAGGAACTCATCCTTAAATTTAGACACAGATGCTCTCAGACGTTCCAGCAGTCCCAAAGGCATTTTTTTTTCCAAAAGGCAACTGGACTTTCTTCGTTTTTTTCTTTGAAAATGTTTCGCTTTTCATCTGCACTGAAATGAAGAAGCAAAAACATTTTCAAACAAAAAACAAAAACAAAAACCAAAAAAGTCCAGTAGCCTTTTGGAAAAAGCACCTTTGGGACAACCATGACCTGGATGATTGCAACTCTCTAGACATTCAGAGATCTGAGCAGGGCATCTGTTGTTCATGTGGCATCTTAACAAGAACAGGTATGCATTCTCCCTACGTTGTTGTGACTTTTCCTGGAGATGTATTACTGCCAGGGGTGGGCTGCTGGGAGTTCGCAGGAGTTCGGGAGATCCTCTAGCTAAGATTCTTGCGCAGTTTGGAGAACCCCAAATCCCACTCCTGGCTGGCCCCGCCCACCCCACCCCGCCCATCCCAGCAATCCCCACACGGCCCGTTTTGGATGCAGGTAAGCGCAGGGCACAAAGGGAGGCTCAGGGAGGGTGAAAAACCGGCCTCCCGGAAGTTCGGGGAGGCCGGAAATGGGCCCATTTCTGGCTTCCAGAGAGCCTCTGCAGCCCAAGGAGGCTGTTCTTGAGGAAAGCCTCCGGAGCCCTGGGAGGGCAAAAACACCCCCCTGCCATGGTGCAGGAGGCTGACTAGGCCACACCCACCATGGCCACGCCCACCAGCAACTAGGCAGAGAACCCGTTGCTAAAAAATTTGAAGCCCACTCCTGGTGACTGCCATTGCACTGCTCTCAGTGCCCAGGTTTTGCAATGCTTCATTATGGCAAATAAAAGTGGACCATCAAGAGAGATCTTTACACATAACTGAATACATAACTGAAAAAAACTGGACAGATTTTTCCAGAAAGAACAAACAAGCTTCATTCTGCAGTTGAAAAGCTAGAGCAAACTCATCCAGGAATGAAAGTGGATCACTCCGTGCTTGATTCCGCCTTCATGAAATGGAAAGGGGCACTCTGGGATGGCCTATTAAAATAGGAGCACTTGATTCCTCATGCAGCAAATTCACAACACCGAATGAGATATTTTTCTTTTTTTACCACATACTTTCCACACACACCCCCTAAAAGGGAACAGATTCAGCACAGCTGAGGACGAGGCTTAGAGAATCTCCTTGTATGGCTGAGATTGCAGAGGAGGCCTCTCCTCTGATTAATTTAAGCATCACAGGTAGTCCTCAACTTACAGCAGTTCATTTAGCGACCCTTCCAAGTTACAACGGCGCTGAAAAAAGTGAGCTGGGGCCGTTTTTCACACGTACGACCGTTGTCGCATCCCCGTGGTCATGTGATCAAAAAAAATCCGGTGCCTTGGCAACTGACTCATAGTTATGACGGTCCCAGGGTCATGCAATCGGCCTTTTGGGACCTTCTGACAAGCAAAGTCAATGGGGAAGGCCCGATTCACTTTACAACTGTGTCACTCACTTAACAACCACAGGGATTGGCATCACAACGGTGGCAGGAAAGGTCGTAAAATGGGGCAGAACTCACCTAACAAATGTCTCACTTTAGCAAGATAAATTTTGGGCTCCCTCGGGATCGTAAGTTGAGGACTACTCGTATATATTTTTCTTTCTCACTTGCCCCAATATTCTAAGGAATCTCACCATATATGGATTGCTAAATTGTCCCACAGGAGGCAACTTGTTTTTTTCTTTTGAAGATGCTTCACTTCTCATCCAAATGAAGCGAAACGTATTCAAAAGGAAAAGGAAAGTCAAGTTGCCACCTGAAAAAAGCATCCTTGGGACAACCATGGCCTGGATGACTGAGAATCTCTACAAACTTTTAACGATACAATTTGAGATGAACACCCTTTGAACGGTATGGGAGTTGGAATGGATGTCCAGAGAGGGGGGAAATTGAAGACTATAGGAGCCAGGAGCTGCTCAGGTGTCCCTGAGGACACAGATAAACCTCCAAGTGGTTCAACGACCCTCTAAAAGGATGCAAATGACCAGCTGTCTGCAAGGATTATAAATCCTTCCATTCAACACCATCCAGTCAGAGCTGAAGAAGCTTTTTGGATGAGAAGCAAAATATCTTCAAAAGAAAAAGCCAGAAAGTCCAGTTGCTACCTGAAAAAAGTACCTTTGGGACAAGCTAGAAAAAAGTGGAATAGATAGCACCACCACCAGATGGACTCGCAACTGGCTGACAAACCGTAGTCAACGAGTAGTCCTTAATGGGTCTAAGTCTACATGGAGGGAAGTAAGCAGTGGGGTGCCACAAGGTTCCGACTTAGGCCCAGTACTCTTCAATATCTTCATTAATGACTTAGATGAGGGAATAGAAGGGGAACTTACCAAATTTGCAGATGATACTAAGCTGGCAGGAATAGCTAACACCCAAGAAGATAGGCTCAAGATCAAGATGGATCTTGACAGACTAGAACACCGAAGTATCTAAAAGTACTAAAAGTACCAAAAGTACACATATAGACTGGGTGAAACCAGGCTCAAAAGCAGTAATTGTGAGAGGGATCTTGGAGTCTTAGTGGACAACCAGCTAAATATGAGCCAGCAGTGTGCAGCAGCCACCCCAAAAGCTAATGCAATCCTAAATTGTATTAACAGAGGGATACAGTCAAGATCAAGGGAAGTACTAATACCACTCTATAAAGCCTTAGTAAGACCATATCTAGAGTACTGCATCCAGTTTTGGTCATCACATTATAAAAAAGATGTTGAGACTCTAGAAAAAGTACAGAGGACAACCAGGATGATTAGGGGACTGGAGACTAAAATATACAATGAACGGTTGCAGGAACTGGGCTTGGCTACTCTAATGAAGAGAAGGACCAGAGGAGACATGACAGAGGTCTTCCAATATTTGAGGGGCTGCCACAGAGAGGAAGGAGTCAAGCTATTTTGTAAAGCGCCTGTAGGCCAGACAAGGAATAATGGATGGAAACTGAACAAGGAGAGATTCAACCTGGAAATAAGGAGAAACTTTCTGACAGGGAGAACAATCAACCAATGGAACAGCTTGCCCTCGGAAGTTGTGGGAGCGCCATCACTTGAGACTTTCAAGAAGAGATTGGACTGCCATTTGTCAGAAATGGTGTAGGGTCTCCCGCTTGGGCGGGTGGTGGGGTTGGACTAGATGACCTACAAGGTCCCTTCCAACTCTGATTATCTGTTATCTGTTAACCATGACCTGGATGACTGAGAATCTCTACAGACTTTTTAGGTATACAATTTGGGATGAACACCCTTTGAATGGTATGGGAGTAGGAATGGCTTTCCAGAGAAAGAATTGCAGACTACAGAAACCAGGAGCTACTCAGGTGACACAGATAAACCTCCAAGTGGCCTCAACTACTCTCTAAAAAGGATGCAAATGACCAGCAAGGAGATCCTTCCATTTCCCACTATCCTGTAAGAGCTGAAGAAGCTTCTTAGAAGAGAAGGAAAATGTTTTCAAAGAAAAAAACACAAAAAACAAGAAAGCCCAGTTGCCACCTGGAAAAAAAAAACAACCTTTGGGGCAACCATGACCTGGATGGCTGAGCATCTCTACAGGCCGATCACTAATTTGCAAGGAATTGATGCCCTCATCATCATCATCATCCTGGCCATCCTCATCACCATCATGAGTTTCCTTCCTCCCTCCCTCGCCTCCTCCCCCCAAACCAAGCAACGGCTGCAAACAGAGGCGCCACAAAGCCCCGAAAAAGGCAGGATCGGAGCCTCCCGTTTCCACGCCGGGAATTCCCGCAGTGGAGGCGTCCTCGCCCCGCGTGGCCCCCCCAAAATCCAGGTGCCGGCTGGCGGCTCTCCCACGCCAAATTCTCCGGAAGAGAAAGGAAGGCAGGCAGGCAGGGAGGGAGGGAAGAAAGACGGCACGGACTTACCGGCTTTCCGCGAGCTGGAAGCGGAGAGTGC